AAATATATTTGCTTACAGCGCCACAGTATCCGCCCAGATGCCAGAATGTGGTTCTGCTTGAACCCATTGCAAACCAACAATTCTCAGAAAATGCATGTCGAGGGAATCTGTATTGAGATTGCAGTTAGTGAACGTACGTTTCTTCAATAACGAGCAGTTATTGAATTTTCAAATGCGCCAGACCAGTAATAGATCTATTTATAAGTATGCCCGCTCACCTACTTGCGTTTTGCAAATCTAACTTCAACCTACTTGAATGATTTGACTTCTCACCAAAGAAGGATATTTATCAGCACTGCGCACAAAGCGTATGATTGGCTCAAATTTGCCTTCCTCTTTTCTACAGCTGCTGACACTAAGGTCGCCATCATCATCATTATGAAGTGAGAACACTGAAAACTCTCTTCGGCAGCACGAACCTTTACGCTGTGCATGTGAGGCTGTATTCCAGGCCTTCCATATAGCCTAAATTAATTTTCACTCATGTACACATATCGACGTCACGTTTAGCAACTGCTCTCCTGGAGCAGCCTAGAGTGGTCATTGTAAATTGATGCTTGCTAATGCTGCTAGACTATTAGGACGTACGACCACGGTGTCCTGAATATTCTAGCAACTATTATAAGTGAAATGGGGAAATTATAAAGGTGGTGTAGTGTCTACAGAAGTGAAGACACAGTGGGGGGGGGGGGGAGCCGGTGGAGCTCCCTGGAAGTATTGCCTAGTGTATTGCAGGCTGAAAGCAAAAGTGAGGTTCTGCTACATGTAAGTGGTGTGCATGGTCCTGGTTGTCTATAGCTGCATTGGTTGGACACGAAACTTGTCATCACAAGGAGCGTTACAGTGTATCCCGTCATCTTAGATGCCGAGCGTGTATTCAGCGATGTCGATACGCTCATGTGATCTGTAGCTCTGCAACTTCAACCAGTACTTGGAGCTGGCTGGGTTTAAAGGTGCAATGCGTAGCATGTACTACAGGTGGAGCGCCAGACGATGCGTATTAACAGTGAGTGCTGTTGCTAGAGGTGCTATTTTAGCGAGCAGCCTTGCTAGTGTTCAACCAGCTTCCTATTAAATAAAATTAATTTTGTGTGCAGTGCTGCAGATTTGGTCAATGTTGTGATAAATATCCAACCGCACCAGAATATTTCACTAGTAACTATTATTCCGGTTTGTATTGCCCTGTGCTGTGACTGTACTGTTCACGAACAAACCCGCTTAACGTCTGGTAGGGGACGGATGCCATCCGTTATTATTAGAGCATGTTCGCGTACTGGAGATGGAGATAGTCGCCAATCTCCATCTCTAATTGGTTCGCTGTGTCTCCATCTTTAGATACCTTTTCAGCCAACAGAAGGATGGGGGTTGTGCTAAAACGATGCTTTATCACTAATCAGCACCGTCGACCGAGCAATCCACCCTCAGTTCGTACTTGTGATGATCACGAACAGTACAACGTGACTTCTGTCACCACATTGCACGAGCGCTGCTTTACTGTGCTGCGGAAGCGCGAGGTAAACGCACTTCTGAAAATGTAGCGACTAATTTTGTGACCATATTCACAAATAGAAGATTATCATGCAACATAGCGAACACGCTCTTAGAGCGTGTTCGCTTTGCCAGTTGCTGAGCTCCTGCGACAAGAGGATTCTCTCATCTGGGGAGTGTAGTGCTCGGCTTGCTGAGGAGCTCGTCGCTGGGCCCGCCTTTACAAATACCGCGCACTCAGCTTCACGCAGAGTTTGCCGGTCTGTTCAAACACGTTTATACATGTTTGAACATGTCAGTTTAAACATTAACACAGTCAAAGGTATTTATTGGCCGCATAGA